TTTGATCATGCATTTGCGCAGTCCTTCTTGTAGGGGAAGAACAACGGCATAAACATGAACTGTTGGCGGTCCGCGCGGAGTTCTGGGATCCGCGCGCAGCGCCACAAATTTATGTTTATGGCGTTTGTTCTTCTCCTCCTCCTCCTCCTCCTCCATCCCCTCCTCCTCCTCTTCCTCCTCCTCCTCCTCTTCGACTTTTGCTCACTGAGAAGATGCAGGGCAAGTCCTTTTTGAAGAACGGAAAGGGTAGAGCCGGTTGCCGCTGTTGACGGCCTCGAGGGAGAACCTCGGCGACCGTTTTGCGGGAGCGGTCCCTCCCTGCAGCTTACCAGCACTGCACCGCAACGCATGCAATTCCAGAGTCACGTCAAGAATGTGTGCCCCGACGTCAGTGGTCCCGTTTGTTGTTGAGATCCCGTTGTGGTCATGGATTGTCCCTCGCGGGTTGCAGGGCCGTGTTCCGTCGCACGCGGCCCCCCAATTCATGTGCATGTGTCGTGGCAAAACGAACATGTAGCACCCGTTGCTGTATCCTGGCCAAGGCGTACACCATAGGTAGCCACATCGTAATTGCATCCTTCCTGGTGGCCTCCGTCGTAGGCCAGCCCAGCCGGCGTGTAAGGCCAGCGGTCGGCACGCGGACGCCCCGGCGCAGGTCGTCATCGTCATTGGCAGAACATTCCCAATAGTGATGCTCGAACGTGGGCACGTGTGGCCCTCCGCAATGGTTGCAAGTATTCAACAATTCCCCTGTTGTGGGACTGCAGGAGGGCGTCTGACACAGCACACCCACACAGTACCGCGGTCATGTGTGAAGCCAAGTCAGGAGTGGTACGTAGTGCCTCCTGGGCGGTCCGCAGCGCACCGATCGGGAAAGGAACGCCCGTCGCCAGTGGGCTCTCCCAGCGAGTCCTGTTCTGCAGCACGGACCATTCGGTAGATCGGAAGATCAGGCGAAGCTCGTGTAGCTGCTTGCCCGTCCTGTCGGTGAGCCGGAGGCTTCCCTGAGGTCCCCTCCGCTCCCAGTTGTCGTCCTGCTGCGCACCAATGGTAGCCGGGTGAGCTCTGTAAGCCATGATCGGTCCGTTCGTTTGCGCACTCGTGACAGCGCGCTCCCAGAATGCGAAGGCATCTTGGTCCTGCCTGCGCAACCGGCATCGGAGGAGCTGCAGGGATCGCCGGCGCAGGTGGTGCCGCATGTCTGCCTGATGCCCCATGAGAAGCATGTGGAGTACTTCTGGGGCCGCCCCTCACCACTTCTTGAGGGAGACCGCCCGTCGTGCGAATTGCTGGTGATTGTTGATCATAGTATTCGTAGGTGGCGTGAGAACCAGCGCCCATGTCGAAACAGGTAACGCCATCGCAGTAACCGCAAGCCGTCGTAGACGCAACGACAAAGGCAACGAGGCGATACGCCGGAGTCGCGCGCACCCTTCCTCGAACTTGCGGTGCTCCCTGTTGGTCAGCCGGGCCGCGTGGAGATTAAGATCCAGGCCCAGAATCTTCATGTTCATCCCAGCCAGTTGAACGGCATCACGCCGGTCTGGGTAGATAGTAAAGCATTGCGCCTTGGCGTGGTCGGTCCGTAAATCCGTCAGACTTTGCAGGGGGTCCCACTCCTGTTGTATGTGCTGCCTATCCTCTGCTGTGCTGGTCATAGCTGTCTGGTCGTCCGCGTAAGTGCAACGCGTGGCGCCCGGCGCTATGGTTCCAATTCTGCGCAGGGGTCCCACAAGAACCGTAGCCATCGCCAGCATAGCGACGGGGTCACCTCGAGGCAAGCTGTTGGAAACGAGTATAGATTGGTCGGAGAAGGAAGGGCCAAGCTCAATCCAGCGCTCCTGGTGCTCCCGTATGAACACAATGCTGATGGTGATCCCATCTGGAACGCCCAATTGCCGCCATTCCGCGCCGACCAAGCGCGGGGATATCCGGTCAAAGGCCGATCCATAATCCCAAGATGTGACGTGCAGCTCGCCCCGGCGCTGCTGAAGGAGAGCTTGTTGTTCTGGCGACGCTTCAGACGTGTCGTCAAGCCTGTTGGCAATGATCGTTTCCTCGAGTCGGGAGAGGCATGGTTCGATGAGTTGTTCTACAGTGCGGCCCTTCATCCCCTCACCCTGCGTGTCAGGGAAGGCCGGTTGAAGATACTCAATGAGCTGTGCCGCCCTCCAACGGTGCCAAGCTCTGACAATCGCACTCGCGATTGCTATAGGACATAGTCGCGTCAGCACTGGCATGGTTGCAAACTCATCCTTGGAAGGTGTTGTTCAGCCTCGGCGCAGATGTGAATCAGTTCCACAAGGGCGTCGTCGGGTAGAAGCATCAGTTCTTCTGGGCACCACTGATCGGGACCATGGGCTTTTCCTCCGTGGAACATTCGTCGGAACTCCGCTGCCCCAAGTGCTCTCCATGGGTCCAAGGGTCCAGCCGTAGCGAAAACATGTCGAGCGTGGTGGTGTTCAAAGTCTTGAGTCTGCTGGATAGCATCCTGGGCATTATCCAGATACGGTTGGTACGAATCAAGATAACCCTGCACATAGTTCCCAAGACCGCAGGCGTAAAAATGTTGGTCGTAATAGTCCCTGACGCGGTTGACAGCATCCTGGTCGAAGTAATTCGTCGCAGCGTGTGCCGTTCCCTGTGGGACCTTCCGTGTAGGGTCCTGCACCGCAGTGTTGGAACACGACGATGCTTGGTTCCGCATCCAGGCCGCTGTGGTCTTGCCGAGCCCGTCTGCCCGAAGTTTCTGCCTCCAGACTCTGAGCCGTTCCTATCTGGATCCCTCCAGACACGAAGATGGTGCCCGCTCTACCTCCCTCATGGCCCCTTCCCGCTCCCACGGGTTGGTGTTTTGAAGAACGGAACTCTCGCCAGGACGGCAGGCCCCCAGAGGCAGCAGACTTTTCTCAGGAGGGCGCTGCTTGCAGCGGAACGCCAGGCATTGTAGGGACTCAGGGAGAGGGGACTTTGGACACGCAAAACAAATAGACACGAATCCCAGGATTCCCAACATTGTCTCATATTTTCTTGGTCTTCATCTTCCCCCCCACAGTTCTAGGATTTCCAACAGTGTCCCATCTTTTCTAGGATTCCCAATCTTGTCCCATATTTCCGGGAAGTCGACGAGTCATTGTGTCTATGAGTTTCTCCCTCCTGAACTTGTGAAGAGGGGACTTGGGACGGGAGGGTCCATTGCAGCACCGCTGATGCATCTTTGCTTTACTCTGGTCCTCCTCCGCCTCCTCCTCCTCCTCGTCCCCCTCCCTCTTCCCTCCCCCTCCTTCGCGCAGGATGGGCTACTCGGCCCTTTTTTCTCTCCTCCTTGCTCGATTCTTCTTCCTTTCCCGTCCCTTTGGGTCATCAGTGCCAGCTTCAGCGGCACGCAGTGGCAGTGCCCATCTTGAGACAAAAGCCTTCTCCCCCTCCCTCTTCCTCCTCTGTTCTCCGTCCTCCCTACGCCTCCTCCTCCTCCTCCTCTTTCTCCTCCTCCTCTTCAGACTCAGAGTTCTTGCAGTTGCAAGGCAAGCCAATCTCAGTGAGAAGGCAGTTCAGGCAGAGATCGACAAAGAACTGCACGAGTCATTCATCATTCATTCCCCCCTCCCCTCCACCCCCCCTCCCCCTCCCCCTCCTCCTCCTCCTCCTCCTCCTCCTCCTCCCTTCCTCGTCCTCCTCCTCCTCCTCCTCCTCCTCCCTCACTTCTCCTCTTCCCTTCTCCCCCTCATCCCTCCCGATTCTTCCTCCTGTCCCTCCTCCTCCCCCATCCCCCGGGGAACCGTGGGCCGCTCCGCAGCCAGGCTGCCCCCCCCCCCCCCCACACGAGAGGGACTGCAGGCGCCAGGCTGCTCCCCGTGGCTGCTGTCGTTGTCGTCGGCGTCGCTGTCGTCGTCGGTCGTCTGCGGTGTGATTCGCCGGCGCCGTTGACGTCGTCGTCGTCGTCGTCGTCGTCTTCGTAGTTGTCGTCGTCGTCGTAGTTGTCGTCGTCGTCGTAGTTGTCGTCGTCGTCGTCGCCCCCTCCTCATCCTCCTCCTCGTCCTTCTTCTCTTCAAACTTCTTCTTCTTCTTCTCCTCCTCCTCCTCCTCCTTCCTCCTCCTCCCTCCTTTCCACATCCTTGGCCTCCTCAGTTTCGTCCTCAATTTCCTCCTCAATGTCCTCCTCAATTTCCTCCTCGACTTCCTCCTTCTCATCCAACTCATCCTCATCCTGCTGATTGCCCTCCTCCTCTTCCTCCTCCCCTCCCTCCCCCTCCGCCGTCTCCACCGGCTGCGCACCGACACGTGGCAAAATCTGCGGTGTCTCGTCGTCGAAGTCTTCTTCGTCTTCTCCTTCTTCTTCGTCTTCGCCCTCCTCCTCTTTTCTTCCTTTTCTTCCTCTTGCTCGTATTGCTCGTATTTTTCTTATCGTCGTTCTATTATTCTTCACACGGTGAATATTATCATTCCTCCTTTAACTATTATTATGAATCCTCGTTTTCTGGTTCTTCTTACTCTACAAAGGATTATGAGGATTATTCGCATTCGCATCTTTAACATTTATATTTTATTCCGATTGCGGTTATGAAGATGTTGCTGATTACTACTATGGTGAGTCTTCTTCTGCCTATTATGAATACTATTAGTATTAGTAATGTTAGTACTAATATTCATTACTATTCGGATGACGAGAATGATGATGATGATGATGATGATGATGATGATGATGATGATGATGATGATGATGATGATGATGATGATGATGATGATGATGATGATGATGATGATGATGATGAGGATTGGCATGATTGTTCGTAGTATTTCCACACTTACTATTGTTGCTATTCTTCGTACTCGTATTCTTATTAATGATCTGATTATTATTATGCCTCCTATTCTTCCTCCTCCTCCTTCTCCAGGAGGACGCGCGGCAAGAGGGCACGCACCTTCCGCTCCTCCCCCCCCTCGCCTCGCCCCCCTGACGGCCACGCCGCCGACGGCGGGCACCGGCCGCAGCCCGGCTCCTCGCCGGACTGGTGCAGGTACTGCTGCGGCATCCAGCTGATATGCACGCCGCCTTCGGGGGGCGGGGGCCCCCCTGCGGCAACGGGCGCGGCAGCGGGTGCCCTGCGGCCTGGGCTCGGAGCGCCACGGCGTCCTCTGCCAAAGGGGGGTCGCTGCGCGACCTGTCCTCCCCCTTGCTTGCCGTCGCTCGGGCGCGCATGTCCCGTGATCTTGCCGGTCTCGTGCGGCTTCTTCTCGCAGGGTGATCGAAGGTGTTCCTCGAAGGTCCTCGACGAGAGAAAAGTGCACATGTCCGAGCGATGCCAAGCTTGTCGATCTGCCATGCATGTGGCGGAGTCTGGAAACCCTGACCCCAAACATGTTGTCAATCACTGTTCGCTCAATCTTGCTTCCGCCTCCCTCCGCCGCCCTTCCGCCGCCCGGCTTCCGCCAGAAGAGGCGGCCTCGCTCTACCTCCGCCGACCTGCCGCCGAGGCAGAGGTGACAGCTCCTGCGATGCTGGAAGGCAAGGCCCATGCTGGACTGCCTCCTGTGTCTGCCCGCACGCGCACGCTTGAGGCTGCTCGGCGACGAGAGCGAGCCGCGGGGCGGGGGAGGCCGGCGCAAAACAAAACACAAAACAAGTATTACTATTACTACTATAAAGAATTAAAGATTTTAACAACAATACATCGTATGTGTTTACTATATATATATATATATTATATATATATATATATATATATATATATAATATGTATTATCACACGCACCTCTCCGAGGGAGTAGAGCTCAGAGGCGATTGATGCGTACGCGGGGCGCCGCGTTCGCGATTTTTCTGGCCGTTTCGCTAGGGACATCCTCGAAATTCTGAAACTCGGTGGCACCCCTCACGCAGATCGTGACTTCAGGGTCCAAAAACACATGGGAATTTCAACATTCTAACATAAAATCTTCAAAAACACATTGTAATTTCAATGATGTTGACCCCGATTCTCAGAGAATGGCGATTTCGCCTGAGACATCCTCCCAAAATCGAGCCCTGACGTACCTTCTGGTACCCCAGACCCCGCCTCGGAGCCTCTTGGAAGCCTCCTGGAACCCCCTGGGGCCTCCTGGGGCTTTCTGTACCTTCTGGTACCCCAAACCCAGCCTCGGAGCCTCCTGGGGGTCTCCTGGAACCTCCTGGGGCCTCCTGCGGCCTCCTGGAGCCTCTTGGGGCCTCCTGGAGCCTCCTGGGGTCTTCTGGGGCCTCCTGAGGCCGCCTGGGGCCTCCTGGGGCCTCAGAACTACATGCACACACAGAGACACAAATCACACCCATCACATCACACGCTAGACAAACATAACACACACAACACCTACAACGCACAGAAAACACGCACAACACAGAGCACACATCACACACACACAACACTCACAATCCCGGGGCCTCCTGGAGCCTCTTCCGGTATCCAAGTCGGGCCTCGTGAGGTTTCCTGGGGGGCCCTTGTACACACATCGCAAGGTGTGGCAACCCCACTTGCGCTCGAGTGCGACCTCGATCTTAGATTCTTCTGCGTTCACCTCCTGCCTCTTCCCCTTCTCTTATGCACGCCCTGGCGGCGCCGCCCCAGCTTCCCCTTCTCCATCTCCGATCCTGCAGTCATGGTGTCTTTCTGCTTCGAACGCCCTTTTCAGTTTTTTTGTATGAGCCTGGGCACACACGTGCCACTTGTATATATGGCTTGCGTTTTTTTATTTGTTTGTTTTTCTCCGTCTTCATATAAAAACACTCCACGCCTCGCACTTCCTGAGTGCATCAAGCAAAGACGACGGCTGCAGTGGGGGGAAGTGCAGCTGCCCTGAATGAGGCCTGGTCAGACTCGTCTGACTGTCCCCAACCTTTGGCATGAGCGGGCTCTTGTGCTCCTCACACAGTCACACGCACACACCCACGCACGCACGCACGCACGCACGCGCGCACGCATGCGCGCGCGCACGCACACACGCACACACGCACACACGCACACACGCACACACGCACACACGCACGCACGCACACACGCACGCACACACGCACACACGCACACACGCACACACGCACACACGCACACACGCACACACGCACACACGCACACACACACACACGCACACACCCACACACACACAACACCCACATCACCCACAACACACACAACACACACAACACACACAACACACATACAACACACAGCACACACAGCACACACAGCACACACAGCACACACAGCACACACAACACACACAACACAACACACAACACACACAACACACACAACACACACAACACACACAACACACAACACACAACTCACACACAACACACACAACACACACAACACACATTCAACACACACAACACACAACACACAACACACACCAACACACACACACACCAACACACACACACACACTCACACACTCACACACTCACACACTCACACACTCACGCACTCACACATTCACACATTCAAACATTCATTCACACATTCATTTACA